GATAAATCAGGACTGGGATAAATAAGGGATAAATCAGATCTGGGATAAATAAGGGATAAATCAGGTCTGGGATGAATAAGGAATAAATTAGGTCTGGGATAATAAGGAATAAGTCAGGTCTGGGATAAATCAGGAATAAATCAGGTCTGGGATAAATAAGGAATAAATCAGGTCTGGGATAAATAAAGAATTAATCAGGTCTGGGAGAAATAAGGAGTAAAACAGGACTGGGATAAATAAGGAATAAATCAGGTCTGGGATAAATAAGGAATAAATCAGGTCTGTGCTCCAGACAAGCAGCTTTTCCCCTCTCCCCTTCTCCCAGTTGGGTTTGACATTCCAGCTCCCGGATATTTATAACCCAGAGCCAAATCCAGAGCAGGGATTCTGGAAAAACCACCCACCAGGAGACTCGTTGGGTCATCTGAAAGCTTTGGGAGCCGGCCTGGAATGGCAGCATTTCCCTGGAATGGCAGCATTTCCCTGGAATGGCAGCATTTCCCTGGAATGCAGCATTTCCCTGGAAGGCAGCAGTTTTTTCGGGATGGTGACTTATAATCAGCTCCCGGGAGACCAAAAATGCTCCCAAAAAACCGGCGCTCGGGTGGATTTGGAGGGAGATCCAACCTCTGGCACCTCCACAATCATAGAATCATAGAATAGATTGGGTTGGAAAAGACCTCCAAGATCATCAAGTCCAACCCCTGATCCAAACTCCCATTACTATATCATGGCACTGAGGGCCACGTCCCAGCTCTTTTTAAAAACCTCCAGGGATGGTGAATCCACCACCTCTCTGGGTAGGCTGTTCCAACGCCTGACAACCCTCTCTGTAAAGAATTTCTTCCTGACATCCAACCTAAACCTCCCCTGGCAGAGCTTGAGCCCATGTCCCCTTGTCCTATTGTTGGTTGCCTGGGAGAAGAGACCAACCCCCGCCCGGCTATAACCTCCCTTCAGGGAGTTGAAGAGAGTGAGGAGGTCACCTCTGAGCCTCCTCTTCTCCAGACTAAACAACCCCAGCTCCCTCAGCCTCTCCTCCCAGCACTTGTGCTCCAGTCCCTTCCCCAGCCTGGCTGCTCTTCTCTGGACCCGCTCCAGCCCCTCCAGGGCCTTCCTGAACTGAGGGGCCCAGAGCAGAACACAATACTCAAGGTGTGGCCTCACCAATGCAGAGTACAGGGGAAAGATCACTTCCCTGCTCCTGTTGGCCACACTGTTCCTGGTCCAGGCCAGGATCCATTGACCTTCTTGCCCCCCTGGCCACCCTCGGGCTCCTCTTCAGCTCCCTGCCCAGCCCAACTCCCAGCTCCCTTCCTGCCTGGCTGCTCTCCAGCCCCTCTGGCCCAGCCTGCAGCTGCAGGGGCTTCTTGTGGCCCAAGGGCAGGACCCGGCCCTTGGCCTTGGGGAACCTCAGCCCCTTGCAATCAGCCCATGGATCCAGCCTGGCCAGGGCCCTCTGCAGAGCCCTCCTGCCTTCCAGCAGGTCGACACTCCCTCCCAACTTGGTGTCATCTGCAAATCTGCTGCTGATGGACTCAATCCCCTCACCTAAATCATCAATAAAGACATTAAACAGGACTGGGCCCAGCACTGATCCCTGGGGACACCCCTGGGGACGGATCCCAGCTGGATGCAGCTCCATCCCCAGCACTCTCTGGGCCCTCAGCCAGTTCCTGACCCAGCACAGGGTGCCCCTGTCCAACCCATGGGCTGCCAGCTTTTCCAGGAGTGTGCCATGGGAGACGGTGTCAAATCCTCGTGGAGAAGCCACTTCCACCTGAGGAATACGAGAGAAAGGCTGGAAAACACGGCCTGGCAAATCCAGGGGTGCTGTTGGACACAGGGATTAACGGAGCAAGAAGCTCCAGGTGCCAGAGGTTGGGTTTTGTCGGGATCAAAGGGTGTTTTTCAACATTCATTTGGAATTTCTGTTCCTGCAGGAAGCAGCCAGGCCAGGAAAATTCCCATCCAAGGCCTCGGGAAGAGGGAAGGGGATGGGAAGGAGCGGGGTGGTTGTTATTGGGATGGAAGGAGCTGATTCCTGGGATTATTTAGGGATGATCCTGCCCATGGAAAGGCACCCATTGGCTCCCAAGGGATTTGGGATGATCCATGGAAAGGCACCCATTGGTTCCCAAAGGATTTGGGATGATCCTGCCCATGGAAAGGCACCCATTGGTTCCCAAGGGATTTGGGATGATCCATGGAAAGGCCCCCATTGGCTCCCAAGGGATTTGGGATGATCCATGGAAAGGCACCCGTTGGCTCCCAAGGGATTTGGGATGATCTTGCCCATGGAAAGGCACCTGTTGGCTCCCAAGGGATTTGGGAGCTGCAGGGGCAGCAGTGAGAAAATGATAATAAATAGGAATTAAAAGAACTCAAATTGGTAAAAATGATAATAATCAATAAAGCAAAGAACTAGAATTGGTAAAATGATTATAATAAAACAAAGAATTAAAATTGGTAAAATGACAATAATTAATACAAAAATTAAAATTGGTAAAATGATAATAATTAATAAAACAAAAAAAAGAATTAAAATTGGTAAAATGATAATAATTAATAAAACAAAGAATTGAAATTGGTAAAAATGATAATAATCAATAAAACAAAGAGTTAAAATGTATTTTATTAATTTATTTTTGTTTTAATGTATTTTATTAATTTATTTTTGTTTTAATGTATTTTATTAATTTATTTCTTATTTAATATATTTTATTAATTTATTTTTCTTTTAATGTATTTTATTAACTTATTTCTGGTTTAATGCATTTTACTAATTTATTTTTCGTTTATTGGATTTTATTAATTTATTTTTGGTTTAATGTATTTTATTCATTTATTTTTGGTTTAACATATTTTATTATTTTATTTTTTTTAAATGTATTTTATTAATTTATTTTTTGTTTAATATACTTTATTAATTTATTTTTGGTTTAACGTATTTCATTCATTTATTTTAATAATGTATTTTATTATAATATTTTATTAACATTTTATATTAATTTATTTTATTCATTGATTTTATTAATATATTTTATTAATGTATTTTATTAATGTATTTCATTCATTTATTTCATTCATTTCTTTGATGTTATTTGACATTATTTGGGGGATTTTGGGGGTGGTTTTCTCCAGACCAGGAGAGGTCAAAGCCCAGAATCTGCAGGAAACTGTCCTGGGCCAATGAAGGGGAGGCTCATGAATAATTCAGATATGCAAATGAGGTGATGAGGCACCTTCAGCTCACACAGGAAATGCCCCACCAGCAAATGGCTTTTAATCTCAGCCTAATTAACCTTAAACCCCGCTTAGTTAAACTCTCCTGGGCTCCCTTCCCTTCTCCAGAGGGACAGAGGGACATTGGGAAGCAGGAAAACAATTCCAGTCATCCAGTTTTCCTAGAGAAAATCCTGGTTTTCCATTGGAAAACAATTCCAATCACTCAGTTTTCCTAAAGGAAATACTGGTGTTCAATGGGAAAACAATTCCAATCATTCAGTTTTCAT